AAAAAAAAAAAAAAAAAAGAAATAAAGCAGTCCCAACTATTTAATGTTCACATGTCCAACTAAATTTTTAGAGTTAAAAAATATAGATGCAGGAGCACTTTTTTGCTCATAATGATTATAGTTATAATGATCCAGGAGTGGGCAACATGTAGAGGTTATCAGCAGGGGTTTGATTGCACAAAATCACACCAAGTTTCTCTGAAATTTTTACTAAATAGACTTCACAGTGCAAGCTTGCCACAGGTAGGAATTTTCTGTGAGAAACAGCAGCTCTAAGATAGATATATTTTGTTCATATTACCTATGAATTGATTTGAATGGGCATTTATAGAGCTAGAACTAAGATTCCAGTTAGTACAACTGTTAGCCTAAGGATTTTAATTTATATAGGTGTATTCCTGTATTGTAGGCTAGCAAGAAAGTAAAGCCTTAGTCTAGGAGTTATCATATTTTGAATCCCAGTCACAGCTCAGATCTGTTCTTCTTGACAAGATTTGTCACCTTTGTGCCTTAATTTACTCATGTAGAAAAGTATGGATGATAGCTGCCCTATTTTTCTTACTGAGTTGTTACAACTATATTACATGTAAAGCTTATAAAAGTAAGATGTTGTATATTACGTGGTTTATAGTTGGAAGGATATTTTAACAGCAATAGTATCGGTTTCTGCTGCTGCTGCTCTTTCTTCAACTTTTAATCTTTGTTCCTCAATTCTAGTTTTAAAATTTCAGTGACTTCATCATCACCACCTACTACCCTAACCCCTTTTAGAAGAAGGATATTGGACTTTGTCAGTTGGAAAGCCAATAATAAAATTGTACTTACAGATAACGTTTCTCCTATTTTTTTGGATGAAATATTGATAGCATCTAATTGTCCCTTTCAATTCTGTAGTTAGATATTAGTTACAACAATGTCTTTCTTCTTGTTCACACAGGAAATGACTTATTTCTGGTAGCAGTTCATGAACTGGGACATGCTCTAGGATTGGAGCATTCCAATGACCCTACCGCCATCATGGCTCCATTTTATCAGTACATGGAAACAGACAACTTCAAACTACCTAATGATGATTTGCAGGGCATCCAGAAGATATATGGTAGGTTACCACTATTTCTGTTTGGTTAATCAGACAGTGAAACCCAGAGTTCCTGCTGTGTTTTGTTTATTTGTTTGTTTGTTTTTTAGATAGATGCACTGAGACAGATCGGTTTACAGTTTGTGAGATTTGATGTTAGATATTCCCTAGACAAAACACTTTTGAAGGTTCAGAAAATACCCTTATGTTATAGATATAAGAAATTGGGCCGGACTCGGTGGCTCAGCCTGTAATCCCGTGCTTTGGGAGGCCGAGGTGAGTGAATTGCCTGAGCCCGCGGGTTCAAGACCCTCCTGGGCAACTTGGGGAGACCTCATCTCCACAATAAATCAAAAAATAAGCCGGGCGTGGTAGCGCGCGCCTGTAGTTCCAGCTACTTGGAAGGCTGAGACGGAAGGATCGCCAGAGCCCAGCAGGTCAAGGCTGTGGTGGCTGGGAGCAGCCACTGCACTCTAGTCTGGGTGACTGAGTGAGACTCCAACTCAAAAAAAAAAAAGAAAAAAGAAAGAAAGAAAGAAAGAAAGAAATTGACAGCGAAGTCATGTAATCACTTACTAAGAAAAAAATGGACAAACAAGGGAATGCAAGTTAATAAGTGGTTTAGTATATTAACACAAAGTGCAAAATAAAGCTCTAAGACAGAGATTAAAAGCTAAAAAAGAAAAAAAAAATACGTATGTCTGACCTATTGGCAAAATTTTTCTATCAATTGAGTTTTTCTGGCAGCTATCCCAGTTATTATAGTGTATAGATTATGTGAATGTCTTAAACACTGATAAAGTTTTCTTATTGAGTTTAGTTGAAACCTTCAGTTACAGGAAATATTTAATGAATTTTAGTATTTAAAATTCAGGTAAAAATATGTAACAAATAAATATAACCAATGAAAACAGTGAGAAATGTAAGACTTTCATATATAAGATGCTGAGCATTTAGTACAAACTGACAGAGTGCATCACAGTTTGTGAGATTTGATGTTAGATATTTCCTAGACAAAGCACTTTGAAGTTCCAGAAAATACCCTTATGTATAGTTGCAAGAAATTGACCCTAAAGTCATGTAATCACTTACTGACTAGGAGTAAAAATGAACAAATAAGGGAATGAAAGTTAACAAGTGGTTAAGTAGATTAACAGAAAGCACAAAATAAATTTCTAGTACAGTAGTATCATTTTTATCTATGGGGTCCAGCCAATGAATTCAAATTAATATAAAAAGAGAAAGACTATTATGCATACTTATTATAATCCTAACTTCCTCAATACAACCATTGACCTTTACAAAGACATTTATTTCACACATAATTGTTAATAACTTGACATTTATAATTTACATTTAGCAAATATTCTTTACCAAATTAATGAAGTGAAGATTTTATTTTTATAATACAAAGACAAATGTCTGCTATCTGTATGTTAATATCCAGTATACAGAAGGTGTCATTTGCATTTTTAAGCAGCATAGTTTAAGTTCACTAATTTGTTTTGCATCTATTTGTTTTTCAATTTCAATATCTCAGTAGTAAGCATTATTTCAGGGTTAAAATAAATTTGAAAAAGAGAGGTCAACTTTTGTGCTGATCTTTATTTTGTTGGGGTACCAAGAAGAGAGAAATGTCCCAGACTCAAAGTTAAATAACTTATATGTTGAATTGAGCCATCATATGCCTATGTACCATCAGAAATTCCTCTTTAGTAGTTAACTGAAAGAAGTCTCTTTCATGACCTCATGAAGTAGTAGTCTAGACTTAAGGTCTGCCAAAACAATAGTCTTCCCACACCTAAACATTACATACCAACAGCTTTGTATTTCTTTTTAAAAACATAAATCTCTTGAGGAACAATGCTTAACATCTGTACCAAATTACATGTATAAGTTTTGGCTTGATTTAGAAGCCTCTTTTGAGAAATTCCTCCTCACATTAATATTTTACTGGTGGTATTTTAATCAATAGGTGTTTTAGATTCAGTATTTAAAGGAACACTCTTCTAGCAATTTGTTGAAATATGTCATGAGAAGAAAATATTGAAAATCAATAAAAGTTTAGAAAATATAATTGATAGAATAAACTTTTATTAGTTGACATTTATCTTTTAGAAATATTTTCACAGAGTCATTATATATCAAAATCTAAGATTAATTTTAGTAGAGCTTACATGCATAGCTCCAGTATTCATTGTCATTTATTTATTATTTATACGCCACCTACTTCCAAAAAAGATTTAAAGCAGCTTTCCCAAAAAGGACTGTGGTGAAACTATAAAAAAAAAACAAACATTAAAAATTAACAAAGAAAACCTAGTTCCTTGGATACAGAATCTAGCATGATAATGACAGTTTCAGATAGACTTGGCAATGGTGTGTTGAGTAAGATGGTTTGTTTTTTCACAAAATATACTGTCTTAAAGACCTCTGAGCTCACTTAGTCTGTATCTTCTGCTGATAAGTGATTATTCTCTGAAGCATATTTTCCAGCACTAATCCAGTTTTAAGTGAGCCAAGCACTGTCCTCATATTTTCAAAAGGTCCACCTGACAAGATTCCTCCACCTACAAGACCTCTACCAACAGTGCCCCCACACCGCTCTATTCCTCCGGTCGACCCAAGGAAAAATGACAGGCCAAAACCTCCTCGGCCTCCCACCGGCAGACCCTCCTATCCTGGAGCCAAACCCAACATCTGTGATGGGAACTTTAACACTCTAGCTATTCTTCGCCGTGAGATGTTTGTTTTTAAGGTAGGAGGCTGTGATTTTTTTTCTTTAACAGTAGATCAAGTGTCGCTTTAGAAAACAAGTTCTCATTCACTCTAACACTACCTTCCCAGCCCTCTCACAGTTAGAAGGTTCAAAAAAGCATTTAAAAAAAAATTAAACGCATAAATGGGCTTAAATGTCTAGCAGAAGATTGCTGTAACATTCTATTTTGGGAATGCATTTATGTCAGCAGAAGCTAAAATGCCTAGAAATGTGAGGGTAAAAAAATTGCTGCATGTTGTGAAGAGATAAAATAGCATAATTTAAATCATGAATAGGCGCTAATAGGGATGATTTGCTTGGGAGCTTAGCCTTTCCAGGCGCACTAAAGCTATTGTATCTGTGGTTTACACATCTTTATAAGATCCCTATAATTTCATTTGACAATTAAAGCATTGTTTCTTAGGAGGTGTATTGATTATTTTGTTTGGGGTCTACTAGTAGCCATTTGAGTAAAATATCCTCTATGGGCCTATCATTTTGACTTTACATATACATGATGTTGTTTTAATGTTGTTAAGCAGTTATATCTACTGAATTTATATTATTTTTTAAAAGATTACAAGCTAAAACTAATTTTACACTTATATGCTTCTTGATGTTATTGAGTTCTCAGACAACAGCACTAATAAACAGTATATAAAAGTAAATTATATAATATTGAAAGGTAAGTATAGTGCAATATTGAAAAAGAATTCCCCCCTCATATTTGTAAACCAATCTTAAAGATTAATGAAGCTATAAGTTCGTAGGTTGGCATTGGAGTTTTAAAATAGCCACATTTTATCAATATCATTCATTTAAACATAAAATAATGTCCTCTTATTTTGAGTGGACATGAATCAATAAGTAATGAAGTATTGTTCTACTTATGCAGAATTTCCTGTCTACCAGAGGCTATACTTTAAAAATATAGATTTCATATAACTTTAGTAGACAAAATGCTCTATTCCTTTTATAGAAAAATGAGATCAGGATTTAATATAATATGCACAGAAGCATTATGCTTTCCAGGAAAGAATCAATATGTTTCTTCAAACGCATGAGTAGATTTTTGAATTCTTAAATGCCCTACAATGCTTGAATAGGCATAACCATTTAATTTCAAGCAGGTTAATAAATTTAGATTCAAAAAGTAAAGAAAAAGCATATGTATATATATAATATTTATATTTATATTTACTCATTGTGGCAAAACGCACAACTAGTTGAAACAAAAACAAAATGCAATCATTTATTTATTGTCACAACACTAGGTAAAAAAATGAATTGTTTTTTTTTTTTTTTACTGTTTTGACTGAATTACAGCATTGCAACATTGCAGGCACTATACCTTGATGTCATAGTGATAGCACCACAAGTGTCAGGCTTATCTGAGAATATGATGTGAAATTGACTCTGTGTACTTTCTTTCTTATTATTCCTATCTGTCAAAAGAGATGCTGATTTCAGAGGAAACTTGTATCTTCATATCTAGTGATCAGTTTCACTAGCCTCTTTGCTTTGCACATTGTAAAAACTTAGTATATGCTGTTTACTGGCAATATGTGGTCCTGTGATCAATGGTCCCTAGTATCAGAAACTGAAAAAAACTGTATAGATCAGACTCAAGTAGCGCAAGTGCCACTATTTTTTAATATCAAAACAGTTATATAAGAAATATATATAAGACCTGCTTCACTACTCTCTCAGGTTATCTTGAATAATAAAAACTCCTAGAGGGACTAAATTCCTAAAATCTGAATTTTTCTTTCAGTAATTCTAAGAATTACTGCTCTGTTTCTAAGAATACTTTCTGTTGAAGATAATATCTTCTGATAGACATTATATTTTTCTTAATCTCCATTTGTCTAATGGATATTGTGTTATATGACTTAATGATTTTTGTATTTGTCTCATCTTTTATATAATGAGTATAGATGTTCATGAGAATTTACTAGGTACCAAGAACGTGTGAACACAGGGAAGCCTCCTTGTCTTTATAGAACTCATATTTCAGGAATCAAGATAAACATGAACATAAATATATTTAAGATACAAAAGTAAGAGACATAACATTGAAACAAAGAGAAAGTGCAGAATTCCACTGAAACAAGAAACTTCACTGAAATGGGGTTTCTGATGCATTCTGAGACAGAAATCTTCTAGGCACATTTAAAAAAAATAAGTGGTTTTAGACACTCGCAGACATTGTTTTAGGCACTGGCAATTTAGCAGTGAACAAAACAGGTTAGACCCTGGTTTCCTGGCGCTTACATTCTGATTTTCAAGGTGGATGAGAGGACTTTAATGCGGGAATATTTACACAAGGATGTGAGAACATATATACTTGACAAAGTGCGGAATTCTGTTTTTCTTTTGTAATGACTACTGACTGGTCTTCTAACTTCTTTCTCCACACCTACTTAGTGTAGACTACCCTTACTCTAAATTCATGCCGTTACTTTATACCTGGTCTTCCTGCCTTTTAAATTTTTCTTCAAGGTACACATCATTATTTTTCATATCTTACTCTATCTCTTCAAATATGTGTAGTATTGCCCATTGTTTGATTTCTCTTACTAATAATATAACTAATTTTCTACCGTTTTTACACTCTCTACAGAAGTTAGAAGTTTCTTCATCTCTTCAACCCTCACCCATTCAACACTCATTACTCAGTTTCTCCTTTGTGCTAATGTCTGGGGCGGCTTCTCTAGCATCTGCCTATCCAAACCTTTCCTTCGCAACATCTTCCAGCTACCTGTCTGATCCTCGCTTCATCAGCCCAAAATCTTTCTAGTAATTTTAACATGTATTCTTTACATCCAATTAGCATGTTATTAATTCCTGTATTCTCTGATTATTTCTTATTGAAATATATTCTTAGATTTTTACTTCTCCAGAGCAGGGATTGGTTCATGTGAGCTTCATAGTACTCAGTGCTAATGAATAGGGATATCAATACAATATTTACATAATCAGACTATGGCTAGTTTCATGCTTATACAATGATAATCAACCGACGTGAAATTCTTGAAAGCATTTCATTTCTGTAGCTGCTGTTCTTTATCCAAATATTTCAGTGAATATTATTTACTTAAAATCATTCATTCTGTAAGCAAAAGGTAATATCAGGTGGTTTTGTTTTCTTATTAGAAAGAAGCCATTCTGGTTTTTGTTGTTGTTGTTGTTGTTTTAGTTGGAGTCTCACTCTGTCACCCAGGCTGAAGTGTAGTGGCACACTCACAGCCAGTGTCAACCTGCTGGGCTCTGGTGATACTTTTGCCTCAACCTTCCCAGTAATCAGAACTACTGGTGCGCGCTACCACACCTGGCTAATTTTTTATTTATTGTAAAGAAGAGGTCTTGCCAAGTTGCCCAGGCTGGTCTTGAACCCGTGGGCTCAGACAATCCACTCACCTTGGCCTCCCAAAGTGCTGGGATTACAGGCTGAGCCACTGAGCCCGGCCATCATTCTTTATGATAGGAGTTTCAGCATAATTCTTTTTGGTAGCAAGCTTCCTCTCAGGGGATTTGATTTACATTGAGCTTTCCAGGCTTCCATTTATTTAAAGTGAGTTCACCTAGATATGTGTTTCTGTAGGAAGTGGGGAACACACACACACACACACACACACACACACACACACACACACACACTCCCTTCTGTCCTTATGCATGAAAAATTTAAAACATGCAGCTTCAAGATCTTTGGGGAATGTAAACCACCTAAAGCAAGGAAATGAAAATCAAAACAAAATGTCAAGGAAAAGAGAAACAAAATGATAATAACAAAAGAAGCCCTGTCCTTACTTTAGAGAAGGTGATTTTGAGACTACTCCCTAAAGAGTATGAGCTATTGTAACAAAGCTGACAATAGCAAGATCTGATTGTTCAAATGAATACTCTCAATGTGCCTTTAGACAAAATAGAAACATTGAATATTTTAGTTATTTTGTGGTGTGAAAGAAAGCAGAGGGCAGAAGTAGTCAAAGTTATACAAAATATATTTCAGTATATAATATTTCGCTATGTTTGAAAGCTAGCCACTTCTCTCCCTGTCTACTGCTACCATCCCAGCCCAAGATACCATCACATCTCACCTTAATTATTGTATTATCCTTCAAATTGTTTTTTTCTGCTTCTTCCCTTTCCTCCTTATCTCAGTTTGTTGTCAATATGGCATACAGAATGATACTGTAAAAACATGCATCACATCATGCCACCTCACTGCTAAAAACTTGTCAACATCTGACTCAGAATAAAACCCAAAATTCTTTAGATTGCCCACGGGCTACATGACTAGCCCAATTCCCCCTACTTCTCTGATCTTACCTCTTCTGTCTTATTTTGCTAATTTTTAGTCACCTATTGCAGCCACACTTCTTCTCCCTGTTGTGTCTGAAACATTTCAGACACTCCTGGCTTTACAAGTCTGTAAAAAAACAAATATTCACTTATCTTCCAGACTTCTGTTGCTGTATGTAAAGCAGCAGAATGCTGTCATGAATTTCTATTCCTACTCAGACTATTACTATACAAGTCTACATGTGACTAGATATATGAAAGGGAACAACAATATTTGTTCATTGTTGAAAGCCCAGTACTGTGATGCATGTGTAATTCCAGCTACTTGGGAGGCTGAGGCAGGATTGTTAGGACCCAGGAGTTCAAGACCAGCCTGGGCAACATCGCTAGACCCCCAACTAAAAAAAAATCATTGTGTGTTATATTCGTTGTGGCATTTTGTACTCCTAAATAAGAGGATGAGTTTTTCTTTTACAATTAGAAGAATGATCCCCCAACTCTCAACTTAGTGGTGTCACTCATTCCTGTTGAATGCTGATGTCTTTCTTTACATTTATTTAATTATTTAGATTGAGAAATTATATTACATAAAACATTTTAGAAAATTATTTTGCATGGCAACAATCACCTAAGTAAAGTCAAAGTACAAATGCCCAATGAGCAGAAAAATACAACTTAGAGAGGGCTGATTT